TCATGTCTTTCTTTAGTTTTCCTAGAAGTTGCTTTATGAATGTTGGCGCACCTATGTTGGGTGCATATATGTTTAGGATAGATATTTCTTGTTGATGGAGTGAACCTTTTATCATTATGTAGGGGCCCTCTGTATCTTTTTTAATTTTTGATAGCTTAAATGGTATTTTGTCTGAAATTAGGATCGCGACTCCTCCTTTCTTTTGTGTTCCATTCGCCTGAAAATTTGTTTCCCATCCTCTTACTTTGAGTCTGTGTATGTCCTTTCTAGTGAGATGGGTCTCTTGAAGGCAGTATATTGTTGCCTGGTGATATTTTATCCATTTTGTCATTCTATGTCTTTTCAGTGGTGCATTTAGTCCATTCACATTCAGACTAATTATTGAAATGTGAGAGTTCGTCCCTATCATGGAGTTCTTATTGAGTTGTTGTTCTTCCACTTGGTTTTTTCTTTTCTTTTTTTTTTTTTTTTTTTGTCTTTCTTTTGGTTTTGGGGTTGGTTCATATATATTTTATTCTTTTCCCTATACTCTTGTGAAGAACATTGTTCTTTTTTCCTTTTCTGCTGTGTTTAGTACTTTCTTAAGTGTTTCATGTAGAGATGGTTTTGTGGCTGCATAAGTTCTTAGGGATTGGATATCTGGGAAAGATTTTAATTCTCCCTCACTGATGAAGCTTAGCTTGGCCGGGTAGGTTATTCTTGGTTGAAATTGTTTATCCTTTAGGACTTTGAAGATAGGGCTCCAAGCTCTCCTAGCCTGCAGGGTTTCTGCAGATAAATCTGCTGCTATTCTGATTGCTCTTCCATGGTGGGTGATCTGGCCTTTTTCTCTTGCTGCCTTTAGGATTTTTTCTTTTGTGCCTACTTTATTTAGGCGAATTATTATGTGTCTAGGAGTTGGTCTTCTCATTTGTTGTCTTGCGGGGGTTCTCTGAATCTCTTGTGTTTGAATTTTTGTATCACTGATTAGATAAGGGAAATTTTCTTGAATGATCTCGTGGAAAGTTTGTTCCAATGTGGTCTCTGTTTCTCTTTCTGCCTCAGGGAGTCCGATTATTCTTAGGTTAGGCCTCTTGAGGTAGTCACTCATCTCTTGAAGGTTTTGTTCTGTCTTTTTGAGCTTATTTTCTGTGTTTTTAAGAGTTTGGGTTATTTCTATATTTTGGTCCTCAAGCTCTGAGATTCTTTCTTCTGCTTGGGTAATTCTGCTTTCCATGCTTATCAGATGGTTATTTATTTCATTCACAGTATTCTTTATTACTGTTATCTCAGATATCAGCTCCTTCCTAGTTTCTTCTTGTGTCTCCTCAATTCTTTTTAGTCTCTCCATTATTGTTTTGATATCTACATTTGCATTTTGAGACCCTTCATTCTGGGGACTTTGCATTGTTTGTATTCCAAAGTCAATTTTCTCAGTGTCTGCTCTCCCAGGCGTCTGGGAGAGACCCATACTCTTCTTTTGGTTTTTCTTCATTTCTGTAGATTTTTCTCCCTTTACCCCTTTCCCTCCCCCTCTTCAATTCTGTTTTTGAGGGAAGGTGGGGTTGCTTTTATTTCTCTTCTGCAATGACCTGTTCTTCCTTATGAGGGTCTTCTGGTTTTGTTCACTTTTCCCTCTGCTTTACAGTCTGTCTATTCAGCAGTTTGCAGTCTTGGTCCCGTTGGTTCCACTGCGTCTTGTCCTTCTTTTGAACTTTTCCCACTTTTTCCTGCTTTTGGTGATTCTTTCTCCTTCTCGTTTTTATTCCGCAAGGCTGGTGCAGGGTGCGGGCCGCCGCCTGGCCCCCGCAGCAGCAGCGCCCCTGCCCTGGCTGTCGCGGGACTGAGTCCCTGTGAAGTTTTTTAAGGGTCTCTGTCACTTCTCAAAACAGGCCAGCAGGGAAGGTAAGCATGGAGAGAAGGAAAAGGTAGCTTGGGAAGTAGGGGTAATCAGGAGGTGTGCAGAAGGAAGGCACTCAGCAACCCTTGGTTGGGCCTGGCTTTAAACAATCAATATGGGAATGTCCCCATTCATAATCTGGGTCAGTGAGGCAATAAGTACTAATTTTTATAAAATAGCACCCATCTTTCCTGGCCTTTCAGAGTGGAATGTCCTGGGGAAAATGTTGGAAAATAGGAATGTCACCATGATCATCAGAATTTTTGCCTCCTGGAATGATACCTCCAGGAACTTCTCAGAGCTCCACGCCTTTCTCCACAGTGACAGCAACTCGGCAGAGGGGCTGAGACAGGGAGTGAAGGATCTCGAGCTTAGGCTGTTGTGTTGCCACCCATGGCAGCTTTATGAGAAGGCGAGAGCATGTGACTGGTGTGAGTGTGAGCTTGTGCTTTGGGGAATGATGCTTGGTAAAGCTGGCTCTTTTTCAGAGGTTCAGCTGTCTTCAGGGGTGCCCTAAACCCAGAATCCAGGGACCTCCTGGCCCCTGCCTCAGGGAATTGTCCCTTTGCTCACTCAAAGGTTGAGTTGGCACAGGTGGGGCATTTTCTATGAACTGGGTTAAGCAAGTCTTGAGGAGCTGGCAGGCTCACCTCCTATCTCAGTCCCTCCTGGGATACTAGCCTTGTCCTGTGGACCAGCTCTGAGATGAGACAGGGGGAAGTACACCTGTCTGTGGAGCCACACAGGTTGGGCATCCATCTGAGCTCCCCTCATTCTGGATTCTCTCAAATTCTGTGTTCTCATCTGAGAGACAGGAGTAGCCCTAGCCGTCTTCCTGGGTTGTGTGTATAAAGCACCCAAATGTGGTACACCGAACACATGGGAGCTGTAGTTGCCATGATTGTCATTGTCACCATCAGCATCACTGTCATTTCTTCCTTAAAGAAGCATGAATTATAAAGCCTTTCATTCATAGCATTAGTCCTTTGCTCTTTGGGGAATGGTGTCTAAGAGCCACTGGCTGTGGGAGTGGGATTCTGAGGCAGGCTCAGGGCCTCAGGGCACAGACAGCCTGGCTGCCAGTGGGCTCCCAAGGACTCCCTGACACCTTGGGCCTGTGTTTGTTTTGTACAGAGCAAGTGCATCGGCATCTGGACCAGCATGAGGTGCGATACCTGCAGTTTGCCTTCCGCTGGATGAACAACCTGCTGATGAGGGAGGTGCCCCTCCGCTGCACCATCCGCCTGTGGGACACCTACCAGGTGAGCTCTCCTTTGCATGCTCTGTGGATACCAAGAACCTGGGCCATTTCCTGTCATGTTCTGCTCTGGGTCTACGTGCTGCCTTTGATTTTGCCTTCAAAGCATTCTCTCAATTGAAATGTGATCTTTAAAAAGTACATTTCTGGCATTCTTGTCATCTGAGAAGATGTAAAACAGGGAAAAGAACTCTATATCATTCTATTTGTGGCTGAATTTAATTCTGACTGCGTGAAGACAGCATCCCTGTGCTCTCTGGCAATTTACATCTCGAGCAGTGTCCTAAGAATATGTGAATGATACTTGTAACTCTGCTGTGAGTTTGAACTCTTCTGCCAAAAAAATTCATACTCAGGACTCACACATTGTCTATGTTTTGAGTTACCTGTATAAAGATTTTTTTAAAAAATTCACAGATAGATTCAGTGCAATATGAAATTTTCTACTCTTCACCAATTTTGATGAAATTCATTTCTTCAGGAGATTGAGTTTTCTGGAACAAGTTACCTTTGTTCCCTTGAGTGTCCCATTACTTATTCTAGCACCTTTTCATTTTGTTCAAGATGTTTACTGAAGCTGAGGCCATGCTGTGTGTGTGTGTGGTGGGGGGGGCAGTTATGTGCCAGCCTTTCATCATCAGTTGCAAATAGCAGGCTCCATTATGTGGGATTAGGAACCAAATCTCGACAGAGTGCTAAAGAAAGAAGCATACGGCTGGTTTTCATCCTGAGACCTTAAGAGGCAGGCTTTTTACTGCAGTGAGTGCAGCCCTTCATGGGTTGTATGTTAGGGCTGTGGAAAGGGGGCAGCTGCCTTTGGAGGTGAGGCAGGGGGTGGCAGGTAGCTGGAAAAAGGAGCTGCAGGGCTGCAGGTTTTGGTAGGCTGCATAAATCCCAGGCACTGGGTTGGGTTCCAGCATTGGAGCCTTGTCTATGGATATCCATGGAGATTGGGGTGGGAGTCGCTAGAACAGCTAGGGAGAACCTGGGGTCTTTCTGATCAGCTCCTACCCACAGGATATTGGTCTGGATGCATTCTTCCCACAGGACAGGGTGCTTGGGCCTCCATGCCTGCTAGTCTCTTATTCTGAGTTTGTTTTCATATGAATCATGTCCTACAGTGTCCCACAGCATGTCCCACAATCCTAAACCTTTTGTTTTGTGGCTCTGAAGTCCTGTGTTTGACTTTTCTTTTTTGTAGTTTATACGGTCTCATGATGTTTACTACAGAAATTATTACTAGTCAGTAGATTGTTATTCAAATCCCCATTTTGGTTTTGCTTTCCTAGATACTTGGCATCTACAGAATCTCTGGCCAGTAACATTTACTGGGACATAAAGCCTTACCTTGGACTGTTTGGTTAAAGTAGCAGTCGGTCTAGTACTATTGATTAGCTCTCTGTAGTATTACAGGAAACAAAACTTAATATCCTGTAAATTGTGAACGCTCTCCATTTTTGTGATTGGCTATGCTGTTCAAGACCCAGGCCCCCCTCATTAAACACAGAGTTTCTTGTAATACTGTCCCCATTATGAATAAATTAGGTATTAAGTCAATCACATTTTGAGATGCCAGAAAATGGATCGGCTCGCGTGTGGTTCTGCACCACCTCCCTAAAACTCCTAATAGGTATTAAAACTTTAAGCACAATTGTGGCATCTTTATTGAGTTAATTTTCCTGAAATTAAATTTTGTCATGAATTGACTCATTTGTACCATGGACTCATTTTTGAACTGACAGTACCCTGGTTATAAACCTTTTTGTATCTTAAAAATTGGGGGTATTTCTATTTTACAGGGCCAAGTAACCATGAAATTGTATTGCATCTTTTGGCAATGAAAATACATAGTAATCATAGGAAAGCAATCGGGTGATTACTTTCCCCTAAACTGGGGTGTTTATTAGCTGAGCCATTACAGGTTTCAGTAACTCTTTAACCCCCATACAAGATAGCTTAAAATGCTCTTGAGAAATGTGTCAAGAAAAGGTTGTTAATAAGCACCTACCCTGTCCCAGGCCCTGAACTAGACAGTGTACAAAAGTGAATGAGGTGCTCTATCATGAGTACAACAAAAAGCGTTAAAGAAGCACAAACAATCTAGAGATAGCCCAGACAAAAGGGAGCTGCTCTCTGCTCCCTAGGGCACTGCATGCTACTTTCTGGATGTGAGCAGTAGGGTACGGGGAGGTCATGGGTGGGTGGGACAGTCTCAGCTCCCAGAAGAGCCCTGGCCCATGAGAGTCAGTTTTCAGGGTCCTCCATAAAACATGGATTTCATGTTCACCTTTTGTCCCCCATCCCTGGACTGTAGAAAGGACACATCCCAGGACCAGACCCTATACAGGGATATTTATTAACTTGAATGAGAAAGAAACCTTTGGGTTTATTTCCTTGTTGTTGGTCTGCAGCCAGATAGTTGAGTTAATCTGTTCCTAAATTCACTGTCATCACTGGTGCAGCCAGGCTCTCTTGTTTTATTTATTTTTCCCTGATCCTCACTGCCTTGCTCCACAGGCCTGTTCTCTAATGCACAGGACATTTGTTCTCACATAGGTATGTAGGACTTTAAGTGAATAAATAAGAGTAGAGCAAAGGCGACCAGAAAATGGTCAGATGGATGCTTCAAGTCTTACACTGTGGCACGGGCTGTTTCAGGTAGTCGTGTGGTGAGCTAGGCTTACTCCTTCTGGGTCTGAGAACACAGTGCCTAACCCAAGAGGGACATTGTTGTCCTCTGCTGGTGATACGCTTGAAGCAATTCAGGTGGCCTCGGAGAAGGTTCCCTCAGGCACACTCATCTCAGTTTCTCCTCTACCCTCACCATGGGCCCAACTCCTGGGCATCCTGTGTGGAATGACCACATTAAAGGGAGGGTGACGATGGGCTCTGCTGACCCTATAGCCATCTGAGCTCCAGGTGAGCAGAGTGCCCTTCTCTGAGTGCTGATGCTTGCTAAGGTCAGAGGTGCATCTAAGGACAGTAATGCTTCAGCAAGCCTCTCAGTCTTTGGAGTGTGCGTGACTGCCGCATGTGCTCTCCCTTAGCAGGGCTTCTCCAGTAGGGTCCCAAGACCACACATGTGACCTTTGTAGTTTATTGTCTTAGGCCAGGTGGCAGCCATGAGAGAAAGTGCCCCTATAAGCAGTTGCTGTGAGGAGGAAGGTCTGACGAATTAATGATTTGTGAAAGACAGAAGAGACTCTGTCATTGTGAGTGTCTTCCTCCCTGACAGAGTTGATGATTGCATACATGCCATGGCAGAGTCAGCACCATCTATGGACCAAGTAACTGGATATTGATGGGCACATGTTCTGTTGTTCTTTAGTTAATTCAGAAATAAACCTGTTAAATTTTAAAGGTCAGGAGTAGGAGAACAAAGCAACGAGAGCTTCCTTAGCTGTCACCTGAGAAATGGGGTCAGGAGGACGGGCCTTGGCTGGCTCCGGTGGGAAGTGCATGACTGGATGATGCCTCGCTTGGTCTCTGGTAGTGGCATCATCCCTCCCTTGTTGCAAATATTTATTCTGGTAATATTGGTCAAGTGCCTACTATGCACCAGCACTGTAGGATTAGGGAGACACAGGAAACTAGAAAGGCAAGTCTCTGCCCTTACAGGACTTACCTTTTCATGGGAGAGATCATGAGCACATAATGGAATGAACCCGTGGCAAATGTGACTTGGTGTTAGGGAGAAACAGATGCTGCAAGGAAAATGAATCAGGAAACAAGGAATTGTTTATGAGCAGAGAATTAGAAGAAAGTGGTATTTTAAGATGAGTCATGTAGGATGGATGGGAGTGGGAAAAGTCTCGAATCCAGGAGTGTAGCTGAACCTGATTTTGCAGTCCTCCTGGTGTAGAAGGAGCTGCAGTGACAGTGGGAGGTGTGAACGCATGAGGTGCATTTAAGGAACAGGGTGCTGGGAACTGCCATTAGTGGTAGGTAGTTGGGGACAGCCTCTCTGTGGACGTTTGAGCTGGGAACTGAGTCAAGGGAGGGAGTGTGCCAGGTGAACATTCAGGGAGAGAATGCCCTGGGCAAAGGGCACATGTGGTATCAAGGACTAACATTATTACCCATATCATCTTAGGATGACCTATGTGGTGGGATTAAAGTTGGAGACATCAGTGTGAACTATGAATACAGATGCAGGTACTACACACAGATGTATACACACACACACACACACACACGTGCGCGCGCGCCGGTGTTTACATAGGTATGTCCTTTCTCTCACTTGAGAGGGCCTGGAAGCCATGATCCCCTGGTATCTATAAACACTCCCAGCACCCAGGTCTTAGTTTCTGATTCCATTCCCCTGGAAAAGGAGCTGATGTTAGGGTCAGGGCAGGGAATATATGAGAAGAGCCTGGAGCATCTTGCAGGGCTGGAAAGTGAGGAAGTGCTCAGATCACCCACAGTGACAGGTGAGTCAGAGGGACCCAATGGCCAGAGCTGGAACAACTGAGCAACAGAATAAATAAAGTAATATTTTGTTAGAATCTAAAGTATAAAACAAGTATCCACGAATCCATACTGATGTAAGCAAATGATCAAATACATTGACAAGTGAGGGATTAGAGATAAATCTCCCATGGGGAAGAATTCCAATTAATTTCTGTAGCTACTTCCCCTTGCAAGAGGTAGACATAACTCCCCAGCCTTAAACCTGGGCTGCAAATGGTGACTTCCTTCCAAAGATGACAGTATGGAAGAGAAGAGACAGAGTCACTCCGTAGTGCAGATACTTGACATCACACCCTCAGCCAGGTGACCAAGGTCAGCACCAACAGTGATGAGTCATGTTGACAGTATGTGCCTTACATGATGTGGCAAGAAGGTACTTCCCTCTGTGGTCTTCCTCCCCAAACCCATCACCCCAGTCTAACCATGAGAAACGCCAGACAAATCCCCCATAGAGTTATTTTCTTCAGCATGCCTGACCAGCACTCCTCAAAACGGCAAAGCTCATTAAAAATAAAGGAAATTTGAGAAATTGTC